AATTTTGATTTGTGATTGAAAAATAATATGTGACTAATTAAATGGTTAATTTGTGACCAAATTGTATAGATCCGTGACCTTAATATATTTAATTAATTAAATATATAATTAATTAATTAAATCATAAATAAATTCTAATAAAAACTTGATTTTTGAAATTTAGTCCCCGTTTGATATACATTATTATCTCATTAAAATGAAAAATATGATTGTTATCCATCATATCAACATTTAAATTCAAATTTTCTATCTCTTATATGGGCGGCAGTGAGCCCCAATAATGACTATATTTTTCATTCTCATTCTACAATAATTTGGTTCAAATAGGGCCTTAAAACCTTTATTCTTAAATTTGAAATGGGTGATACGTAATCCCTTATGAAATTTTCCCCTATAATAACTTCAAATTAGTGACTTGACTTTGAGTTTAAAAGGTTTTATGAGAAATCCAAAAAAAAAAAAAAAATGTTTGAAGTTAAATAAATAAAAAGTCTTCAAATCATAAAAAATTGTGTTTCCAGTAAAGTCCATTGGACTAACAGATACTTTGGGCCTTCACGACTGCAAAGGTATAATCCTACCCACCTTTACAATTGGGTCAAATTTGGGCCTCAGGCCCAATAAGTACTTTAGTAAACATTGTCACACTTCTTCAATTCATTTCTCCAATCAAAGAGGATGCCGTCGTATTCGGAGTATCATTCTCTAAAACTTTTTATAATTGAGAACTATGAGTCAATCGCTCAAAAATAATTTTATCTCGAGAAGTAGAATTTTATTTAAATTAAAATTTAACACATAATAAAAATAGCTTTTTTTTTGGTGTGTTTGAATCTAATTTTGAGGAGAATAGAAATTTTGGAATAGTGACTGATGTGAGAATGTGCGGTGGAAAATTGATGAAATTTTTTTGATTTGTGTGTAATATTATTTTATTTGAAGAATATGTGGTTGAAATTGAAGAATGAAACTGAAAATGAGAAATTAAAGGGTGTCAAATAGGGGCAATATTATCATATGTATCCATATTCCTTCCATATAAATATAGGGTTTTGGTTCTCATCATAATACACACAAATCTATTAACTTATCTTACTCTCTTCTTTTTTTTTCTCTTTTTACAACACGTTATCAATACGAAAGCTTAATTTTTCAAAATTTAGAGAATGTAGTAATTTTTTTTTAACATAATCATCAATCATATGTACCAAAATCAATTTGGTGGCACGTGAATTATTTTACATACACTTGCATTATAAATTGGTAGGAATTTCTGCTGAAATTAGTATGAATTTTGTCGTTGGAAGTTGGATCAATTTGCAGCAATCAACAAAATATCTTCCTAAACGTGTAGGAGTTTGTAAATTCTAGACGTACAGTAATTAGTCAAAATCTGCCTAATTTGCATTAGTTTCCGCCGCAATGTACCGTTCGTATTTTATGCCTTAATTTGCATTACTTCCCAATTTTTTATACATATATGTGGATTGATTTCTGACCATGTAATTATGATGCCAAAACTTGCTTATGTCAGCATGGGAGTTTGTGTGTGATAGCAAATTAGGTCAATTAATGAGAATTTATGTATGATAATAGGTTTGATCAGTTTTGGTCTCGCGCAAGATTAGGTCAATTAATGAGAATTTATGTATGATAATAGGTTTGATCAGTTTTGGTCTCCTGCACGCAGTAGATCAGTTTTGGTCTCCTGCGCGCAGTGAATTTATGTATGATAATAGGTTTGATCAGTTTTGGTCTCGCGCAGGATTAGGTCAATTAATGAGAATTTA